AGAAAGCAGCCTATCACATCATGGCCTTCTTTGCCTTCCCCTTGATTCTTTACCTGGTTAGCTGCTTGTGTTTGAATTCACCTGTTCAGTTGATCTCTTCAAACAGGTGCACAGGGGCTGCAGTATAATAAAGTAGCTCCCCAGTTTTCTGGTGTATCACCTGATCATATTTCCTTCATAGAATTTATGACTATTTGCAATTATGACTTCTTCCGTTTATGGTCTGTGTTCTCCAGGTAAAATGCAAATGCAATGAGAGCAAAGACTTTGTTAGAGATCCATTGATACTGTTTGATACATCATAGGTGTCATATGACATAATGAATGAGTGGATTTTTGTCTCATATTGTTACTATGCAACAATCATGGCTTATGCCTTCTGAGTCAAAGTTGGGCATTTCTTAACAATGTTAATTAGTTATTTAGTAAGAATTTGTAAAATATATAGCATATATATAATCAGATAGTTCAGTTGCTTATACATCTTTACTTATTTAATGCCTACAATCTTTTAAAGTTGGTTTCATCATTTCCCCCTATTTTTTAGATTCAGAAATTATGGTAGGCAGAGCTTGAGGGGTTTGCATGCAGTTACATAGATAAGGAATATTGGAAAATGCAGGAAGCATCAAAAGAAGATAGAAGGAATGCACAGTCACTGTACAAAAATAATCCATCAGTATTCAACCATTGGTTCTACAGAATAAAGAACCAATAATAATGAAGGAAGTAGCCAAAGTTACATTGAAGGCATTTGGTTAAAAGAAAGGCTCTAGAAATTGATGGAGAAATTTCAGTGTTTAAGCAAACAGATACAACCCTGGAGGTGCTCATTTTTCAAGAAATCTCAAAGGTACCCACTTGGGCAACTGATATGAAGAAATCCTTATTTTGCTGTTCTAATGACATGTGATCTACCAGAATGCAGAAATTATTCTGAAGCAGTCTGACTCTACAGAGGTGTTGATTTCTGGTTCTGGTGAGCCTCTGGGACATTGTTTACTAGCTATTGGCTGTGAATTGATTGTATTTGGCCTCCTTTTTTAAAAAGGCATTTATTCACCAGTAAGGGTCTAGAATTCAGGTAAGGAGTATTCTGAAGCAGTCTGACTCACACAGAGGATTTGATTTCTGGTTCTGTGTGAGACTCTGGGGCGTTGTTTACTGGCCACTGGCTGTAAGTTCTTTGTATTCGGCCTCCTATTTAAAAAGGCATTTGGGCCACTTCCAAAATAGCTGCCTCCGGAAACTCTATGAACTTGGAGAAACAATGAAAGTTATACAAGTGTTCAGGTATTTCATTCATAGGATCTCTATGAGTTGTCTACAACTCGATGGCACTTAACAACAACATTATTAATATCACAAGAAAAAAATTGCCAAAGATAATAATAAAAAACCAAAACAAGTTGCAAGAGTATGACAGAAATGCCAGGAATTCAAGTCAGGTTCAGAAGAAGTCAGGGAATGAGCAATGTCATGATTGATATCAAGTGAATCTTGGATGGATGTAGAGAATGCCAGATATATGTTTACCTGTGTTTTATTGACTGTGTAGTGGCATTTGACTGTGTGGATCTTAACAAATTGAGGATAATGTTGTAAAGAATGAAGATATGAGTTAGAGCACTTCGGTGTATCCTTGCAAACCCATAAAAGCAAGACTATGAGGTAGATAGTTAGTTGTTCAAACAGAATAAATGTTCCAAACTTTGTGGTTTAAAGTTTGGAAAGTTAGGTGTTAGGATTGAATCTTTTCATCACACTTATTTAATCTATATGCTGAATAAGTAATCTGGAAAAACTGGACAAAAGAGCAGCGACTACAGAGCAAGATTCATTTAATAATCTTGATAATAATCTTAATTGCTGAATGTGAAAAGGACTAGAAGTATTTATTGATGAAGACAAACAGCCTTCAGTGTCGATTTACCTCAACATCCAGAAAACAAAAATTCTCAAAATTGGCTCAATAAGCAGCATCATGTTAAACAGATAAAATATCAGGGATTTGATTTTACTTCAATCCACAATCAACTTTGAAAGCAACATTCAAGTAATCAAAGAACATAGAGCATTGGACATTCTACTGCAAAAGATCTCTGTAAAGTGTCAAAAAGTAAAAATATAACTTTGAGAACGAAGATGGCGCTGACCAAAGGCATTGCATTTCCAATTGTATCATGTATATATGAGATCTGGACAATGAGTAAAACTAAAGAGAATATATATATATTTAAATTGTGTTGTTGGTGAAGAATATTGAATATATCACGGACTGCAAGAGGAAAACCAAATATGTCTTGGAAGTAGTACAGGATGCTACTTAACAGTGATGTGGTAAGACTTCGTCTCACGTGCTTTTGACGTGCTATCAGGAGGAACCAGTCTCTGGAGAGGGAAGTAGTGCCTGGTGATGGAGATCCAATGAAAAAGAGGAAGACTAGGAGATGGATTGTTACAGCAGTGAGCTCAAATGTAGCAAAGACTGTAAGGATGGCGCAGGATAAAGTAAAATTTCTGTTCTCTGTACAGAAGGACACTGTGAGCTGGAGCTGACTGGGTGACACCTAACAGCAACACATAGAAAGGATGTTTTGAAGCCAGATTGGAGTCACTGGCCTTCATTATCTATTAGGAAATTTCATCAAGTAGCCCTTTAATTCTCAGCTCTTGAGTGCTTTGTGTTCACGGCATTGTTCAGCTCTTCTTCTGTACTGAGGTTTGTGCTGTCATCACACCTGCTCTACAGAGGGGAATACTGAGACTTAGACAGTTTAACCAACTCTTCTAAGTCTCTAAAGAGATTTGAATGTACACACTCTGAAACCTATAATCCTTGATAAAGTCTTCATATTACTGGAAGTTTTGAGGATTCCTGTTAATACACATTCATTCTGAGGTCCCCAAAAGAGAGTAATCTCCTCCATTTAAAAGGCTTTAATCCTCTTCAGTAAGTGTTTCAGGTCTTCATTTTCAGTGAGTACGTTTGTGTCATCTACATACAGATTTTTAAGAGTATTCCTTCAATCCTGATGCCACACTCTTTTTCATGTATGCCAGCTTCTTGGAGTATTTGTTCAGCATGCTGATTGAGTAAGTACATTGAAAGAATACAGCCCTAACACATACCTTTTCTGATTTTAAGCTTTTATTCTGTTCAAACAAGTCACATTTTTTAGCTGCACATACAGAACTAATATATCTGGAATCAAGAGAGAGAAGTAAAAAATTTAGAATCCACATATTATTACCCTGCCTTCAAACTGAATGTCCGTATAAAAGATTATGCTCATATAAGCAGAGATCAAAACTTATGTCTTTGAAAAATTCCCTAAATCCACTGAGGCCAGTTGATTCAGCAAGTAGAAAATGAGTCCATATAATATTATTGAACTTTCATATTCCAGCATTTTTACAGAACCTTTATTAACAATACTTTTACATGCACAGTCCTGTGTGATCCTGACCTAAGCATCTTTTTTGATGCTCACAATTACCACAAAGTGAGGGCAGGGTAGGTATTATTAAGCCACTTTACAGATGAAGAAATTAAGGTTAATAGAGTTTAAAGAGCTTGTCCAAGGTCACATAACTGATAAATAACAGAGCCAGGACCTGAACCAAAGACCTGGGACTCCAAGTTGCACACTTCTTCTGCTGCCCCAGCCCTTACCCATTGTCAGAACGACATATTGGAAGATGTAGTGGTATTGTAGGTTATGCACATCTCACTTGAAGACTCCCCCTGCCCCCCACTACCTTCATCTGCATCTTGAGGGCAGGACCTACGGGGTTTAAGATGTTTCTTCTTCTAATTACTGACTGTGTGTACATCTGCTTTGTTGGGTTCAGCCTTACCTACTTTGTTGACATCTAAGAAGTCAGTGAGTAATATGTGGAGCAGGACTCACCTTTCAAACAGCTTTTCTTCTGAGTCCTCTAGAAGTCCCAGGAAGCTTCTGTTTGAGCCTATTGTGACAGAAATAAGTGAGGGTAGCATTCTCCTCTCCTGTGTTTTTTTTTCTCAATGCCTGTGTACTCTGGGAGCATGAACACTTATTTCCCAAGCTTCTAGTTGTCTTTTTGCTGACTGCTCTTCCAGTGCTTCTGTGCATATTATTTTAGGTCTCGAAAGAGTTCCACAATTTATCAAACATATGTGTTTCTTCAGGTAATTGGATTGACAGATATGTGGTGTGGGAACTTGAGTTGAACACCATGCCTCAGACCCTGGCTGACTGAAGAGACCAGGTGATTGATTGAGCATGGAGTGGAAGCAGATGGCCTCACACAGAGACCAGCAGGGTGAGGCAGGGGGACTGGCTGCTCATCTTCCTCAAGCACCAACGGCCTATGCCAGCTGAAAACAGCTGGCAAGTATAGAGGCCTGATCAGCAAGAAGGCAATGATTGCTTCATTCCCATTAAGAAAAAATAATGCCATTTCTTTCTAGAATCTAGCTCTGGAGGTCTAGTGGTAAGGAGCTGCTCTGCCAATCCAGAGGGACAGGGTTCAAATCCACCAGTTGCTCTGAGATTTTAAAAAAGGTGGACATTCTCCTAATGTGTTATTTACAGCCTCTGAAAACCTACTGGAGGGTCAGCTGTGTACTGATTATAATTCAGTGGAACATAACAACAGCCCTATAAAAGGAAGCTCTGGTTGCGTAGTGGGAAAAGAGTTGTGCTGCCAACTCAAAGGCAGGTGGTTTGAATTCACCGGATGCTCCACAAGAGAAAGATGAACATTCTATTCCAGTGTGATTTACTGTCTCTGAAAAAACACTAAAGGGTCAGTTAGGGGTCGATTCTGACTCAAGGGCAGGGAGTTCCATTTTGAGCCTACAAAAGACAGAGATTATTGAATATATTTCAATAACAGAGCTGATAAGGAGATGCAAAGCATACTCCTGTTGATGTTGAAAATCTGCATGACCTCAGGCAGTCTCCTCCTTTGTTGTAGATACATGAACTCTGGACTCTCCGGAATCCATCACAATGCTGCTCCTCTGCCACGCTCTCGCTGTAGCTGCTGTGCAGGTTGTTATCTTCTCAGAAAACTGGGCTTTTGCCAAGAACATCAATTTCTATAACGTGAGGCCTCCGCTTGACCGTAAGTAGTACCTGCTGCCCAGTTCATCACTGAGGGGCCCAGATGCCCAGCGGAAGCACTGATTCTACATGTGGGAACATTGAATTCTGCTCATACTTTTGGGTTATACTTGGAAAAAAATAAAGGGGAAAGGTCTTTATTATTTCTATAATTGAGGGAAATATATAATGATGGAAAGATCTCTATTTTGTTAAAATGTTTGACTCCAGTTTATGTCTTAAAAGAGAGCTTGTTTGGTTTTGGAATTTTTTTCTATAATTATATTTTATTAATTTTCATAAACATTTACAGAGATTTTGGGTTTCCATTCATTCATTGTTGCACTATTCTCTCTACCCTCCTCCCAGTTTGTTCTTGTCCAAATGCCACAGTGCTTGTCAAAGCCAGTTCTGATTAATCTTCTTTGTCAGTGTGTCCTTTGCCATTCCCTATCACTCCTCCCTGAGAGAGACTTCACTCTGAGTCATAAGGAAAAGGGGATGGCGTATTCTCTTAGCTACTTCCTGCTGAAAAGGGACGCTGTGGGTTTCAGGGTGAAGATCTTCTCTCACTACTCTAAAGGGCCCCTTTGGCAGTAGGAAACACATAGACTATTATGGAGATTGATTTTGGAATTTAGATGCACTCTTATTGATTGTGCTTGGCCGTACATGTTCATATCCTTGAAGATGTATCATGGGGGTGTTGCAACCTAGAAGACACAAATTTGACTAACAAGTTATAAGTACATGAGTCCAAAAATTATGGAAAAGTAAAAGAAAAGATTCTTTCATTGTTTTACAAACCCTCCCCCAGGTCCCCTCCACCATGTAGCCCTCGCTCTAGTCTCCTGTGATGACAGAAATACCTAGTTATATATCTCTTTTAAACAGTTTTCTCCCTCCTCTGTTTCAGTGCAGTATACATTATTGAACCCATCTTACTCAGTCTCTCCCCAACCCCAAGGACAGTCCCATTCTACAACAGTGGCATCATGTACATTGTCTCTAATCTTGGCTCAGCAGAAAAGTTCTGTGTTCTTTGTTGTTCTTGTCCATACATGATGGCATTATTTGTATTAAGTAATTATTTCAAATGGTCACTAATGATTTTGAAAACCAATCACCTATGCTTGAAATTTGAAGAACATTTTCTGAATTCTTAATACACAAAATAACCATGGGCAAATATGGCAAAACCTGCAAAAAGTTTAAGTAACTGTTTAAGCTACTATCTCTGTATATTATTTACAAGGTAATATATGTTGATGCTGTTGTTGTTGTTAGGTGCTGTTGAGTCACAACTCATGAGGACACCTGTGAACAATCTGAACCCTGTCCTATCTGTGCCATCCTCATAATCTTTGACTCACTCAAGCCCATTGCTACAGTCACTGTGTCAGTCCACCTGGTTGAGGGTCTTCCTCTCTTTCACCATCCCTCCCCCTTCCCAAACATCATTACCCTCTCTGGGGAACAACCTCTCCTGGCAACACTCTCAAAGTATGTGAGATGAAGCTTCATCATCTTTGCCTCCAAGGAGAACTCTGGTTGCACCTTCTCTAAGACTTATTTCTTCTTTTGAAAGTCTGTGGGATATTCAGTACTCTTCCCCATCTCCACAGTTCAAAGGTGTAAATTCTTCTGCCATCCTCATTCATTGTCTAGCTCTCAAAGTGTAGAAGTGACTGAAAAGACCATGGTCTCTATCAGGAGCAGTTTAATCCTTAAGCTGACATCATGCTCCTCAATAATTTGGAGAGGTCCCTGACTACAGACTTTCTCAGTGCATTTAATACAGTAATGTATATATAATACATTAAATGTATTAATATATATAAATACATTTTATGTACATATATGAAACTTCTTTTACTTTTGAGTTTTTGGCCATTAAAATAAGTGGCAAAGAAGAAAGTTAGCATAAAGAATAAAAAGAGGAAGGGAGGGAGCTAGTGTTCTCAATCCAGATTACAAATGACTAATAATTCCTTCTTTATTGAACACTTTGAGCCTCAGTGTAAGGGCCAATGAATTACTTTCCACCTTGTATTAAATGTTACATTTCTGGTCAAGGTCTAATATGATAATTGACATGTATAAAAAAGACTACTTACTTAAGGTTCAGTGCAGTTGTAATGGGAGTGGATCTGGATGGAAACCAGCCTGGCTTGAGGTACCAGGGACTCTGCTAGCTATCTTTCTTGTAGTCTTCTATTTAATCTTCATCCCACACCTGCAAGTCATAAGGGTCTTCATAGTTTTTGTTTTTTAAAAGCTTAAAAAAACCCTCACAAAACTCACAACTAATTAGTGGTAAGGACAGAACTCAAACTCAGGCTAATCTGCTTTCAGTTCTGTTCAGGGATGTTAATATACCATGAATGGAATTGCTCATTCCACCACAACACTCATCTCCCACGGGTGCTCTAATTATAATAGACTGGTACTGATGCCATGAATCTTTCCTAGTGCCTTGTGGAATAATGTCATTACTCTGCATTGTTAGGTACCATCAGGGTGCCCCAGCTCATAGTAACCCTGAGCCATCCTGATGAGAGTTGGGGATATTAGATTGTTGGGTTTCAGTGAGTTTTCACTGTATGCTTTGCTGAAGTACTGTACCTGGTCTTGTTAGTTCATGTTAGTTGGGAAGTTTTCTCTAATGAAGTCTGTCCAGCATCATAGCAATACACAAGCTTCCACTGACAGATGTGTGGCAGCTGTGCATGGTGGTTCATTGAACTCAGCTCTTGTACATGGAAGACAGGCATTCTATCTATCACTGAACCACCACTGAGTGGAACTCTATCTAGGTAAAATATTCAAGAGAAGAGAACAAAGAAAATGCCTGAAGTCTGACAGGTAAATCTAGCTCTCTAGAAAGAGCCTAAGAATGATTGATGGCTTGTGAATTTTGTTGGATCTCATAAAGTGGCTAATGTGCTATGTTTGATGTTTGAAATGTTTGTATTTTTTAATCTGAAGGTTTCACTTTAAACTTTTCTGTACAGCAACACCATTCCCAAACAGCTTCAAGTGTTTTACCTGTGAAAATGCAGGGGATAATTATAATTGCAACCGATGGGCAGAAGACAAATGGTGTCCACAGAGTAAGTATGAGGAGTAGGGTCGTTTGTTTCATGTTTTCACTTTATTTAGATCTTGCCCTGAGCAGAGATGTGTGCTAATGGGGTAAACATGCCAGCAGGCAAGGACAGTCCACAGGGATCCAGCAATTTCTTCTACATGGCTATCCCGGCACCAGACTGTAATGAGAGAACTTAGAACTGATGGCATACCCTCAATTTGTAGGGTTGTGTGCCTTGAGGAAGAATGTCTTAAGTGGCAGTTACTAGTGAGAACAAATAGTTGGCTAAGGTATTCTAAGAATTTAAAAAATGCTTAATGGCACCTCTAGAAACATCAGAGTTATTGGCTAAAGCAAAGGGAGTTTTTGTACTCTGGAAATACACTGATGCTTGGAAAAGTCATTTATTCATTGAACAGGTACTTAAGTGCTTTTTTCAGTTTATTTAATTGATGCATCCCTACACCTGGCTCGTTTTATGTACTCCATAAATATTTGTTATTAGAATGAATAGATGTCTTTGATTAGGTGGTCAGAGAAACTTTCTCTTAGGAGGTGACTTTTGAACTAAGAACTGAATGATCCAAACAAGCCAGCCATGCAGAGATCATTATCTAGGAATGGGGGGGGGGGGAGGACAGCAGATGCAGAGTTGAGGAGGCAATGACAGGCCTACTCTCAGTGGGACGTGGAGAAAGGATCTGAGATGGAGGCTAGGACCAGAAGACAGGATCTTCTGTTTCTGATTTAGAGTTTGCATTTCATTGTAAATATAAAGGAAAGGCATAGACTGTTTTAAGCAAAGGAGCACAGGATGTTCATTCTGTTTTTAAAAGATCCTCTGCTTGCTCTTAGAGAGTGGATTGTAGGAGATGAGTAGCAAGGGACAACCATTAGGAAGTGTTACTACAAGAGGAAGATGGTAGCAGGAGGGTGGCAGGAGCAGTTGGTGACTGGGCCTAGGGTAGTTATAGTAGAGGACACACTCTCTTGCATAATTTAGTACATGCAAACCCCACAGTTAACTGGTGCTCCAGAATTAAAAACTCTACTGAATGCTGAAGGAAACTCAGGCTACTCAGATTTTACAATGGACTTTTCTCTTTTGGCTTTCAAATATCATCTCCCTCCCTTTAAAACAAACAAGCAAACAATAATACCTTTCCAGAGTCAGAAGCCACCAGTTTGGATCCACTGTTAGCTTTTGTGGAAATTTCTCTACTACTTTATTTAATAAAGAGTTGTGAAATAGCCTTACCAATGGCAGATAAATTAAGAGCTCTTAAAGTGCAGTGAGTAAGGGCTCAGCTGCCAGCTGAAAGGTCTTCAGTTCAAGCCCACCAACTACTCTCCATGGGAGATGTTGCAGTCTGCTTTTGTTAAGAATAAAGCCTTACAAACCCTATAGGGTGGTTCCATTCTGCCCTAATGGGTCACTGTGAGTTGAAATGACTAGATGAAAACAGACTTGGCTCTGGTTTTGTTTGCTTGGTTGTTTTTGATTTGGAGTTTTGAGGATTTCTCCCTGCCCACAACCCCTCCCCCTACCCCCAGTATTCTAGAGAAAGCCAATTGTGAAGCCAGAAGGTATACACATTGGAACCCCCTTTTAGACTGCAAAGTCTTTGACTACAAACTAATAACTATGACATCTAGACGGACAGTGTTTTTAAGATTTTATTCTAAAAATTATTCATTACAAACATTTTTCTTGTCCTTCCACATTCTTTTTATCACCATCACCATCTTTTTATCATTTTTGAAAGTGTTTGTGTGTATATGTGTTTGTATGCATACATGTGGATACATGTGCATATATCATTGTATTATCACAGTGAGTCTTAACTTTTTTTCTGAGCTATATCATTGTTGCTGTTGTTCGTTTGCGACTCATAGCGATCCTATGTATAACAGCCCTAAACTCTGCTCTGTCCTGTGCCAATCGCACCATCTCCGATACACCCATCCCAATTACCCCAGTCACTGAATCAGTCCACCTCATAGAGAGCCTTCCCCTCCTGTGCTGTCCCTCCAC